TGTTCTGTGAAAAGAAAACAAATGATAATGAGATCTATCTATTAATCGATATTTAAAATCAAATTTTAGAGAAAACATTAAATAGATTTATATAAATGTCATTATGCAATAATCTTCATTTAAGAAGCCAAAAGTCCTCTCAAAGATATCAGGAAGCTGTAACTACAAGAAAGTGTGTTGCTTTATCAACTAATCTCTGTACTGAAAACTATGACTATTCAGTGACTATTTGTCCTAAGTTATGTAACTTGTCTAATGCTTTCAAGATATATTTAAAATAATATTCGAAGTTTAAATATATTCAACATCACTAAGGAGGTGCAATTTGAATTGGGTCCTGAATGAATGGCAGGATTTTGAGTTGACGTTGAGGGGATAGAGAAGATGGTAGAGAAAGAGGAGGAGAAAAAAGTAGAAGAGGTATAGTTGTATTCCAAGCAAAGGATAGAACAAGAGTGTGAATCAGAGTGAGGTACTTACTGACATCCACTGACTTTTTCCAATAACCTTTTCGTCTCATGCCATTTCAGTCACTCCTTCATCAAACTTAGTTAGCCCGTACCGTCAATAGAAACTACCGAATCACCAATGCAAATAGCTTCTTATATCTTCCCACCCACTGCTCAATTATCTTAATGAAATAAACTTTCCTTCACCAAAATGTCCAATTTATGGATCCTACCATTTTATCTTCTTCCATGATCCTTCTCCTTATTCCTTCTGTATCTATCGCCATGCATCATTATAACCACTACCTTATCCTCTTCCCATTCCTATATAGATGCCTGACAAATCCCCAGCCCTAGATGAACCCTGGCATTGATGTCCTCTGGACCCCAATGCAAGTGAGTGCTGGGGAAAACTACACAATCTGGCATATCAAAGTCACCACAAACTCAAAAGGAGAAGCCACAGACTGGCAACTTATACACTTCTCTAGCTTCTCATAACTATTTCATACTCAGCCTATTTTCCTTAAACCTCCAGTCCTTTCCCTCTACCATTCTCAGATGACAGCCTTACCTTACACTTTCCTGCAACAATAGAAGACATCAACAGGATGCAAACACTTAGGACTCAATTTTGGGGACCCAGTGCCAAAGGAAAATGTGGGGCCCCTTATTAAAAAAAAACTATTAAAAATGTTAAGATGGTGACAGCAGAGCATTAAATGAAGTGTGGGGTCTTTCTAAGCACCAAGCCTGTCCTGCTACCACTACATTCACAAATGTACCACAGTAGAAATATTCCTCCTCTTCTGAAGGCCAGTTTTCCCACTTGCATTCTGGATACCATCCCTCCCCATTTTTTCAAAGACTTCTCTCTTCCATATAATAGCATACAGAAGTTTTTAAAAACATTTTATTGAGATATAATTCACATCCCATAAATTCACCCATTTAAAGAACAAAATTCAATGGTTTTTAGTATATTCACAGGGTTGTTCAATGATCACCATAGCCTAATTTTAGCACATTTTTGTCCCCCCTAAAGAAACCCCGTATTCATTAGCAGTCAATCTTCATTCCATCCCCACCAGCCCTAAGTAACCACAAATCTATGTCTTTCATTATATATTTGCCTATCTTGGACATTTCTTATAAATGGAATCATATAATGTGCAGTCTTTTGTGACTGGCTTCTTTCACATTAAATAATATTTTCAAGGTTCATTCAAGTTGTGGCATGTATCAGGGCTTCATTTCTTTATTTGTTTGTTTTGCCAAATAATGTTTTATTGTATGGCTATATCACATGTTATTTATCTATTTATCAATAGATGGACATTGGAGTTGTTTCTACTTTTTGGCTATTATAAATAAATGCTGCTATGAACATTCATGTGTAAGTTTTCATTAGAATGTATGTTTTTGTTTTTTCTTGAGTATAAACCTGAGAGTAGAATTGCTGGGTCCTATGGTAACTCTATGTTTAAAATTTTGAAAAACAGCCAAATTGTTTTCCCAAACAGCTGCACCATTTTATATTCCCACCAAGATGTTTGAAGGTTCCAATTCCTCCACATCATCATTTGTCATTATCTGTCTTTTTGATTATAGTCATCCTAATGGATATGAAATAATTTGTCATTGTGGCTTTGATTTGAATTTCTCTAATGACTAATGACACTGAGCATCTTTTCATTGCTTATTGGCCATCTGTATATCTTCTTTTGAGAATTATAGGGAAGTATAGAAACACAACAAATTTTTGTATGTTGTTTTGTATCCTGCAACTTCACTGAATTCACTTATTAATTCTAACAGGTTTTTGGCAGAGTCTTTATGATTTTTGATATACAAGATCATGTCATCTCTGAACAGAGATAATTTCACATCTTTTCTGATTTAGACTTTTTCTTTTCATTGCCTAACTGCTCTGGCTAGGACTTCTGGTATTACGTTGAAGAGAAATGACAAAAGACAAAACATTCTTGTCTTATTTCCAATCTTAGAGGAAAGGCTTGTTAACTTTTCACTGTTGAGTACGATGTTAGCTGTAGTCTTGTCATATATGGCCTTTAATTATTTTGAGCTACATTCCTTCTATACCTAATTTGTTGAGTGTTTTATCATGAAAGGATGTTAAATTTTGTCAAATGCTTTTTCTGCATCTATTGAAATGATCATTTGATTTTTGTCCTACATTCTGTTAATGTAGTGTATCACATTAATTTGATTATTATACATTGAACTATGCTTGCATCCTAGGGAAAAATCCCATGTGATCATGGTATACAATCCTTTTAATGCGCTCTTGAATTTGATTTGCTAGTATTTTGTTGAGAATTTTTACATTTATGTTCATCAGGAATATTGGCCTGTAATTTTCTTTTCTTTCAGTATCTTTGTCTGGATTTGGTATTATAGTAATGCTGGCCTAGTAGAAGGAGTTTAGAAGTATTCTTCCTTTTCAATTTCTTTGAAGACTCTGAAAAGGACTGGTATTAATTTTTCTTAAATGTTTGGTAGAATTTACCAGTGAAGCCATCTGGTCTCTTTAATGTCTGGGGAGATTTTTGATTACTAACTCAATTTCCTTGCTTGTTATTGGTGTGTTTAGATTTTCTATTACTTTAAGATTCAGTTTTGGTAAGTCATATGTTTCCAGGAATTTATCCATATTTATTTAATTTGTTGGCATATAATTTTCACAGGACTGTTCTGATCCCTTCTGGTATCAGTTGTAATGCCTCTTACATATTTTTGCTTTGTGATTACTATAGGACTTTCATATCTTATAGTTATCAGTCTATTTTAAACTGATAACAAATTAACTTCAGTTGCATAAAAAAGTCTACATTTATTTTTCCCACACACATTTTATGTTGCTGAGGTCCCAATTTATTTCTTTTTATATTTTGATACTTCTGCATTTTCTATACTTCTTCAACCTATTCCAATCTAGCTTGCTTCTCACTAGTTTACTAAAATTATTCTTGCTAAAGTCATCAGTTTCCTTCTTGATTCTCCCAGATAGGTTAGGCTCTGATGATACCCTAGCAATTTAGACTCTGGTAAAATACTTTCTTTTGAGGGTAGGCTTTGTTAAAAAGTACAGAATACTATGGTGTGTTTTAAAATGGTTCCTTTTCCCTTCCCACTACTAGAAGCATGAAAGGATTTTTCTTTGATATTCACTGCGAGGATCTCAAAGAGATCCTGGTGGTAAAACTCACAAAAATATGAAGGTCCACCAATGACTGGGTCCTCCTTGAGTTTTAACTCTCAGAGTTGTCCAAACTGAGCTCCCAGCAATTCGTCAATCACACTTTTGGTTTTCCCACTCCAGCATTGGCTCTCGGTGGTTTCTGTTCATGTATTTTGCTTAAGTTGTGATTCTCTGTATCCACCTGTTTGTCTTTCTAAGTTTTGGTGCAGCAGTTTTCCCTGTGACCTTACTACTCTGATGGAGCTAAAAAGATTGCTTATTTTTCAGTTTCTTCAGATTTTTACTTGTTGTTAGGACAGAGTGGTGACTTATAAGTTCCTTACATGCTGGACTGGAAACTGGAAGTCTTCCAATTTTTCAAAATTCTTTATAATCCTGGACCTCCAAGCAGCATTCGGCATTGTTGACCACTCCTGCTTTTAGGAATAAACACTCTCTTTTCTTGGCTACTATGACAGCATATTCTATTTATTTTCCTCCTTCTCTCTGTTCACTCTTCCTTTTCTATCTTAATGTAGAGTTTTCCAAGGATTGATCCTAGACCTCCTTCTTTTCTGCACTCTATAGATACTCTTTCTCAGGTAATTTCACCCATTTCCATAAATTTAAAAATGTCTATAATACTGTATAATCCTCTTCTATTTTCCTGATCTGCAGATTTATAGCCAATGGCTCTTCCAACATGTTCATCTTAATATGCCCTCAGACCTCCTGCCTTTTCTATCACATTAAGCAGCACCTTTATCCACGAAGGCTGCTCAGGACAGAAACCTAGAAGTCTTTCTTGACACCTCTCACTCACTCCTTCATCCTCTATATTCAATCCATGGACTCTACAGGCAAAATTATCTTGAATCCATGCACATTTCTCCATCTCTCCTACATCTTAATCAAAACCACCACAATCTCACACCCAAAATCTTTGCAACTTTATACTGAGTTTTCCTGCTGCCACTATTGCCCTTTCAGTTTGCTCCCAGTATATACAATGACAGTGTGCTGTAGGAGAAAGAGTACAGGCTTTAGATCCAGAAAGACCTGCCACAGGCTCCTCAAACATACTGGTTAACATCTAAATCTCATTTTTCTCACCTACAAAAAAGGTAAAAACAAAACAAATATACAAAAAAGTTTACCCGATAGGAACGCTAGAAAGATATATTAATGAAAAATGCTTAGAATAATGCTTAGCAATGAGTAACCACTCAAACAGTAGCTCCTGCTACATAAATAAAGTCCATAACCCTCTAGATTCTAGGCCTAATGTAATAATTCACATGTATTCCTCAGTATAAAACACTGCTCTGGATATATAGCAAATATCTTATTTTTATCTCAAACTAATGATTAATAGACATTCAATTATTTAAAGGAAGTTGGAAAATTATAAATTTTAATTCTCTTCCATTAAGCTCATATAGAATATATATTCATGTAACAATAATGTAATCTAATTGCTAACTCCAAAAATGTTTTAACTTACTGATTCGTATAGCTGAAAAATAATTTCTATAAAAGTATTGGTTAAAAGTATATCCTATCTTAACGAAATTTATTGTTTATGTAGTTATTCTGCTTCAATACTTGCCTCTTTCTTGTTTTTTTCAGGGGTCGAAGGGTAAATTTCCTCAGCAAGTACAACTTCAGGAGCTGCATTATCTATAAATAAAAACATACATTAGTATTTTAATTACTTAACTAGTCATTAACTATAAGTACAGAAAAGAGAACTCAAATGTGAATAAAAATTAATTGAATAACTGTGCCTCTGTAATGGTTTTAGAAGAAAAACTTAATATATGTTAAATAATCTGACTTGTTATAGATAGCAGAAAGTACACTTTAAAATATCTTTATCTCAAGAGCTCCAGGTTTCACAGGAATAAATAAACTGTATAAAAGATTTACTTTCCAATTAGCAGAGAAAGTATATGTGATTAAAATTCTTCATTAATTAATCTTCCATTTCAACTCTCCTATATTTTCAGGCTCTCTCTTTCTACTGCAAATTTTCTATCAGCATTTAAAACATACTCAGGTCTCTTCACCTTACTAAAAATTTTATCTGTACCCCACACTCCTGCTTGCTACTTCCACTCTCTCCTCTTATCCATGTGTAAGTTTTGACAACTGTCCACATAGACTAATTTCCTTTCCTCCTATTTATTCCCAAACCCACACATTCTAGTTTCAGCTCCCACCAATATGAGCAGAAACCTTTATTGTCCTACCTTACTAGACCCTCAGTACAACAGGTATGAATATCTTCCCTCTCTGGCCCTTTTTATAGCTCCTCTTCAGTCTTGACTCTTACCTTTTCCTCATTCTCCAAAATCAATTTAAAACAGTAAGTACTTATTGAATGTCTGCTGTGTGTCAATTTTACCTATTATATGTACTTAATATTGCAAACTTGGCTTTTTAAAATCCTTAACACCAGTACCTTGATTTAAGGCACCGAAGGATTTTCTTTTAGATTATTCCAATAGCTTTTCAATTCACCTCCCTCTGCAGTCCATTCATTGTTCACACTGTGTACCTAAAATAAAAATCTAATATAATATCACCTCCTTAAAACTCTTCAAAGGCTTTCTACGGCCCTCGAATTAAAATGCAAGCTCCTTAACATGACATGCAAAATCCTGGTTTTTATGATCCTTATATTTTACATATACCCAGCCTCACTGCAGAGGCTAATAGGTTGCTGGATAAAATATAGGATGCCCACTTAAAATTCAGATAAACAATGAACAGTTTTTCAGTATAAGTATTTACCATGTAGTAGTACAAACGTGCAATATTTGTGACAATTATATTAAACAATTATTTGCTGCTTATCTGAATTCAAATTTAGCTGGGTATTCTATATCTTTATTTGCTAAAACTGGCAATGCTTTAAGCTAATCATTCCTCTGATCTTCATCTCCCAAGGCAGAGAGAGGTATTAAGAGATGAAACTGTTACCCAGATTTGGTTATAGATTAGATATAGTAAGTGACAAAGAGGAGGGCGTTTCTGGTTTGCTAATTGAGAAGGAGGACACTGGAGGAGGACCAGGTTAGGTCTTGGTTGTGACAATTCTCAGTCCTCGATCCCTGTTTTATTCAATCTCTTGGTAACTTTTGTTACAGCTACTTCTAAATGTTGGAGTGTTCTATTTTTTTTTTTTTCACACGTCTCTTTCCTATTTATTTGTACTTCCTCGGTAATCTAATCTAATCCTATGGCTTTAGAACATCTATACTTTGGCTCTAATATTTTTCTAAAGCCTAAGTCTCAGCCCCAGAGTCCAGATTCCTGTGTGATAAACTTATTTCATGCCATCTCCACTTGATGCTAATAAACCGCTTAATGTTTTAATATTTTCTCAAAGTTTTACATATATACAGTAATGGTCACAAATTTTATATGTATATGTATTAATCTATATAATCATCACTGAGATCAAGATATAAAATATTTTCAACACCCCAGAAGTTTCCTGTATGTATTTTTGCCAGTAAACATTCCCTTTCCAAAGGTTACCACTATTCTGACTTCCAGAATAGTTTGGCCTGTTCTTCAACTTCATATATGTGGAACGACGCAGCATACGTGTTCGTGTCTGTGCTCTTTTGTGCAACATTATGTATGTGAGCTGATAGGTCAAATTTTATAAGGGCAAAACAAATTCTCTTAATCATTCTCTCAATTTGCTCCACCCTACAGTGCTCCTATTTCAAGGAATGATACCATCATTTATCTAGTTGTTCAGTCCAGTAATTTAAGACTCATCTTTGATTTTTACTTTTCTCTCTTATCCAACATCTAGCCTAATCAGAAAATCCTGATACATCTGCCTTTAAAATATATTCCAAATAAGGCCACTGCTACCACTTTAGTTTCATACACCATTATCTGACAATAGTTTAACAATTAGCTGCAATAGTTTAACAAGGTCTCCTTGCTTCCACTCTTGTCCCCATAGTCTATTCTCCACATAGTACCCAGAGTGATGATTCTAAAATGTATATATCTGATCGTGCCATCCCTCTGCTCTAAGATGTGCTTCTCGGCACATTTACAATAAAATCCCTACTCCTTACGATGGCATATCTATATTATACCACTTGACTAGCTCTCTGACCACAATTTCAACCATTCATTTGTTTACTCATTTTGCTCCGGTCACACTAACCTCTATCTTCTTCTTCAAATATGCCAGCAAATTCCCAACACATGGCCTTTTCTCTTGTTGTTCCTTTTGATCAGCATGTTCTGCCCCCAGATTTTCACATGGTCCACTCTCTCATTTCATTCAAGCTCTGCACAAATGTCATCTCAGAGAACCCTGTCCTGATTATCCTGTCTAAAAGAGCATCCCTAATCATACTCTGTTTTTACCCTGCTTTATTTTCCTTCATTACTCTTATTTCTGATACTGTTATATATTATGTTTATTATCTTTCTTCCTCTACTATAACATAAGTTCCCTTAGGGCAAAGACTTTGTCATGTTCTCCAGCAACTAAAACAGTTTGCGTCATGCTGTAGGTGCTTAATAAATATTTGCTGAATTAATGGGATTAATGAATGGTGAGATGAGGTGTTTCTGAAACATCTAAGAGGTGATATCCAGATGTCCTACACGCAAAAGTCTTAACCTCAGAGGAGAGTCTAGACTGAGATAAAATTTGGAAGCCTTGCTTTTACAAGACACCTATACATGTCAAGGAGTAGATTGAAAAGAGATTAAAGTCTGGGAACTAGCCTTGAAGAACTCACATTTAATGGCTAACAGCGGTAGGTAAGATTGCAAAGCAAACTGAGCAGGAGTTGCCTGAGAAGTAATTTTTTGTTTTGTCTCTGCTACTAGACTATTGGCTCCTTGAGGGCAGAGATTTCTCAGTTTTCTAATAGTTAGTAAATAGTTAGTAAATAATTAGTAAAGAGGCTGACACACAATTAGAACACAGTTGGATTTGTTGAATTAAGGAATGTGTAAAAAATACCTCTAGAGCAAAATATGATTTACTTAGTTTTAAGTCAATAGATCACATAGAAGAATACGAAAGCATATAACTCCAGAGTCACTATTCTGCCTTACTACCAGGCTTTATAAATAATATTTTCCACAGCCAAAGCAAAACCTGTTATCGGGCAAGATCCAAGTAAAATCATAATCATTTTTGGTACTCTTACCATTTTCCTTTTGTTACCTCTCTTCTGTTGTTCAAAAGTTCCCTTATTCTTTGTTCTATAAAACAAATCCTCCTTCTAATGCTCACCCTCCCGGGTGGTAGGTGCTACTTCTTCCAAAGTGTGCTTTTACAAGTTTAGTTTTGATGACTAGATTAATTTCCCTTAGAAGAGAAACTATCTGTACCATTTTTATACCCATAGTACCTAATATAACACCTGGCATTTAGTAAATGCTCATTAAGACAACTTCTTAAAGTGAAATTACACACACAAAATTTTTTTTTTAGTTGATATAAACATTTATACCCATTAGGAGCAAAACTAGCAATTTTTCAAGTTTACCCTCAAATAGATGCTCTAAAACTTGTATGGAATAAAGAAAATAGAAATCTGAGACATAGCAGAGCTTAAAAAGGTTGTAAATGTCTTGCTAAGTTTATTCTAATAAAAACCTAATAATAGAGTACCTATGATGCAAGAGGCTTTGTTGATCCTTTTATTTTTCATTCATCATATATAACTCCAATATATCTGATTACTGATTATCTTCCTCTCCTACAGCTGAGACTTCTGAGGGCAGGGAATGTATACCACTCTCCACTGGCACATATGGCAATACCTAGTACAGAGTACATACTCAGTAAATGTTTATTAAGTGAATAAATGACGGGTGCTTTGGTGAGAATTAAGACCCACTTACTAACCTCAGATCACCATTTCTTAAATACAACCAAGCTAAAAGCACTGTTTCCTGGGCTACCAATTTTCTTAATATATTGCTTTGTGACAAAGATAAAGAATTACAGATTTATCAAAATGATTCATTTCACTATTACCTGATTCTGAATTTGTAGTACTCTTAGGTTTTGGAGAAAAATTTCCATCCGCAAATGTCATCACTCTATAATAGGAACAAATAAATGTACTCTTTTATTTTTACTTATTTTTTAACTCTATTTTTCAATTAGAGTTACATTCAATATTATTTTATATCAGTTTCAGGTGTACAGCATAGTGGTTAGATATTTATATAATTTACAAAGTGATCACCCTGATTAGTTTAGTGATCTCCTAGCATGATGCATAGTTATTATATTATTGATGATGTTCCCTATACTGTACTTTACATCCCAGTGACTACTTTGTAACTACCAATCTGTATTTCTTAATCCCTTCACCTTTTTCACCCTGCCCCCTAACGCCCCTCCCATCTGGCAACCATTAGTTTGTTCTCTGTAAATGGTACTCTTCTAACCTTTCAGTAACTTTTGAGAATCCTCAAATATTTAAAATGAGGACATTTATATGCAAACAATTATCCTGTAGAAAAAATATAACTGGTTAGAAAAAGATGTTACTATATCTATATGAATGAATAGTTTAATAAAAGGCAATATATTTATACATTTATCAGTGTGAGAGAATATGTGTAGAGGCCAAGGCATAGTGTTTAGAATCAGGCAGACCTGGGTTTAAAGCACAATTCTACTACTCACATTTGAGTGGCCTTGGGGAAGTTACTTAACCTGTCTTGAGTCTTGGTTCCCTCATTTATACAAAAGGAATAGCAATCTTGTTTCCCAGGATTTTTGTGGTAAGAATCTCAAGTAATATGAGAGATAATACTTTTTAAAAATTAATATCCTTTTCTCTTTTACACTTATTCCACAAATGAGACCACTCTCAATTCTATCCAAATGTGTAGAATAGAATTAGCTATTACAATTCTATCCAAATGTGTAGAATAGAATTAGCTATTACAAAAAGAATACAAAAGGATGACAGCTCAACCTTTGACCATCAAAACGGGATTCTCAGTCCCTAGCAAGGATAATGCATTTGAAAACCAAATGTAAGATGTTTTTCTAAATTCCAGTTACAGGTTTATTAATAGTTGAACTCAGTAATCAAAACACAATCTATCCTTTTGTATTTCCCCTTTAAATTCATCCTGTCAAAATAGTACCTTCTTGCCCTTGAATGAACTTTAGGTGTATTTCACTGCTTTTGTAGTATTCTCTTATAATACAGTTATTTTTAGGTAATGAAAAGCCTAGCTTAATATCACAACACCAAATTCTTGTCATCCATTTTAAATTTCTTCCTTTTCCCAATTTAAATGTGATTTAGACTCATAACCTGCAGTGAAGAAAGCAACCATCATGGGTTTCTTCTCTATCTCTTGTTCTTTTTCCTCTCCCATTTGGTAACTATTCTTTGGGGTCCTCTGGCACTGGAGTAGGGGAAAGTTGTAGAAAGGGGCAGGAAGGTCTCTTTTGATCTTGACTGATACTATTATAATATGCCATTGGTGCCCTTTGGATGTGACAGATAACCAAATGCTGACTCTTTCAAACCAGAAGTATTTTGAAGGGTTCACTTATATGATTTCCTTATGCCTAGGGATCTCTCACTTGCTGCTATTGCATATGATGATAGAACTCCCAATCTCCTTCAATTAAGTTTACTTTGTTTTTTTGCAGAAGTCATACTGGGCATGATTCTTTTCAAGTTGATTCATAACTGGCTCCTTTCTGTACATTATGCACAAATCTTTGTTGTGTCACACTCCGAAAGTACATCTAGCTTCCTCTTTATTCTGACATTATAAAGCATCCAACAGACCCTCTTGCCTTTAGACTTTTCATTTATGAGTCAGAAACCAAACTTCAGAGGACATAAAGTCAAACTTTCCAAATGGTTCTCTTGGAGCTTCCTCTCCTGTGTTGATGTGAGGGAGAAGTCTCTACCTGTCCTTGTATATGATGCTAATAACTCTTGTCAAAGAAATAAACATTCTTGGTCATTTTCTCCTTAACCTTTTCTTAAATAGGTTGGAGATTGGTAATGGGCTAATGCTGGAAGAACTGGGTTTTGGCCTCACATAAATTCTACAAAGATGGTTCTACACAAAATAGAAAATGGGGTGTACTGTCATTTTTATTTTGTTTTCATCTATTGAAGTTACTATCCAAACTCTAAGACTACATGAAAGCCACATTTAACATCCTGCGACATTCTCAAGTTCCTTTTAATATATGTAGATTAAGGTTTGGTAGACCCAGCCACAGAGTTTTACTACTAGCCATACTATATAGAAAGAACTCAGGATGCAACCACAGATAGATCCCTCCTTCACGCCTTCCAGTGTAGAGCATGGCTGGGATGAGAAAGGGGACAGAGGCTTAAGAAACAAGCAGTTAGACAATAGGAACTGACTTCTCTCCCTCAAGCCCAAAATCTGTAGTTGGAGTAATAGGTAGGAAAATGACATTAGAAAAGGCGAAGAGAAGCCAAAAATAGAGGGGGCATTGCCAAACTACCTGTTTAGAACTCTGGGAGGAGATGACCACACAGGATAAAAACTCGACATAAAAATAAAAGCTTGGGATGTTCAGACAGAGAGGGAGCCTCACAGTTAGCCCTCCTGAGATTCTCTTAGTTCCTATATATTGTGAACAAGTTCTCAAGGTTGCACACACTAAGGGCGATGAAGAAAGTGGTCAAATTTAGAACCAAAACACCTGGCACAGGGCTGCTATGGTAAGGTGACTCTATTATAAAGGTTGCAGAAAGGTAACCAGGTCAAAGTTTAGATGGAAGACTTCAATGAGATTCAAGGTGTTTGGGGTAGCAGCAAAAGCAAAGGTGAGGGAAAAATCAGCAATGCAGGACCTCAGGCCCTATTTGTTTTCCTTCATCAAGTGAATGAGTCATCATTCATCCAGTTTTCTAAGTCATAGAGCTGGAGGCCAACTGGGACACCATCTTCTTCCCTGAACCAATCAATCACTAAAAACTATTTATTATCCCTTGAGAATTGTTCTCAAATTTTTCCTTTATGCTATCCTTGCTGTTAAAGTTCAGATCCTAACCATGCCTCACTTGGAATGCTACAATAGTCATCCTTTCAGTCTAATCACTCCTTCTATCCCATCTTTTCTTTGCTGCAAAAGTAATTGTTCTAAGACAGAACTATGACCATGCACATTTCTGTGAAGAGGTAGGATAACCGGCAAGAATTTGGGTTGGGAAATGTAAAAATTCCACAGAAACCTGCACTCAAAAGTATATCAATCCTCACCCAAACATACTCATCAGTACTGAATACCTACACAATATAGATCCCTACAAAAGAAGAAAACATTGCACTGTCTGCCATTTAATTCTGGTTTAAAAAAATCTAGTTATAAGATAATAACTAGAGTTGTATATGATTGTTTGAAGGACACAAAATTTATCAAATGGCTATAGACTTTTATTTTGCAACTCAAGAAGCCCAGAGCCAAAATATGGCTCAATTAAGTCATCTGACTCTTAATTCTATGGCTTATTTATTTTTGATCTATTTCCTTTCTTATCTATATCTTCTATGAAAAGTTATATTTCCAGAAGTCCTAGCCACAGCAATCAGACAAGAAAAAGAAATAAAAGGCATCCAAATTGGAAAGGAAGAAGAAAAACTGTCATTATTCGCAGATGACATGATACGACAGAGAACTCTAAAGATTCCACTAAAAAATTTGGAACTGATAAATGAATTCAGTAAAGTAGCAGTATAAAAAAAATAATATCCAGAACTCAGTTACATTTTATATACCTATAATGAACTATCAGAAAGACAAATTAAAACAATGCCATTTATAACTGCATCAAAAACAATAAAATACCTAGTAATAAATTTAACTAAGGAGGTAAAAGACCTGTACTCAGAAAATCATAAGACACTGAAGAAAGAAACTGAAGAAAATACCGTGAATAAAATAAATAAAATCATATACCATGATCATAGATAGGAAGAATTAACATCGTTAAACTGTCCACACTACCCAAAGCAATCTGTTAGATTCAATATAAGCCTTATCTACATACCAATGACATTTTTCACATAACTAGAACAAATAATTCTAAAATTTATATGGAACCACAAAAGATGCCAAATAGCCACAGCAATCTTGAGGAAGAAGAACAAAATTGGAGGTATCATGCTAAATGACATGAAACTAAACTTGGTAATGGCATAAAAGCAGACACATAGATCAATAGAACATAATAGAGTGCCCAGAAATAAACCCAGTCTATATAGTCAATTAATCTATGACAAAGGAGGCAAGAATAAACAATGGGGTAAAGACAGTTTGTTCAATGAATGATGTTGGGAAAACTGAACAGATACATGCAAAAAATAAAACTAGATCACCTTCTCACACCATATACATATACAAGATTAACTCAAAGTGGACTGAAGACTTAAGTGTAAAATCTGAAACCATAAAACTCCTATAAGAAACATAGACAGTAAACTCTGACATTGCTCTTAGTAATATTTTTTGATATAACTCCTTTGATAAGAGAAATGAAAAAATAAATAAACAAAAGGGACTACATCAAACTAGAAAGTTTTTGCACAGCAAAGGAAATCATCAACAAAATGAAAAGACAACTTACTGAATGGGAGAAGATATTCACCAATGACATATGATGAGGGATTAATAACCAAAATTTATAAAGAATTCATACAACTCAATGCCAAAAAGAACAAACAATCCAATTAAAAAATAGAGGACCCGAATAGACACTTCTCTAAAAAGGACAAACAGATAGCCAGTAGATATATGAAAAGATGCTCAACATCACCAATCATCAGAGAAATGCAAATTAAAGCCACAAGGAGATATCACCTCATATCTGTCAGAATGGCTATTCTCAATGAATCTACAAACATCAAGTGTTGGCAAGGATGTGGAGGAAAGAGAACCCTTATACACTGTGGTGGGATTACAAATTGGTGCAGCCACTATGGAAACAATATGGAGGTTCTCCAAAAAAACTAAAAACATATGACCTAGTGATTCCACTTCTGGGTATTTATCTGAAGAAATTCAAAACACTAATTTGAAA